CACAGAGGGCATCCCCAGCCCTTCATGCTTGAGACAGGATCTCACTAAATTGCCCACACTGAGCTTGAATTTGCCATCCTCCTATCTCAGCCTCCCAGAGTGCTGGGATTTCACCCAGTCTGGTGTCCTAATATTCTAGTCCCAGGAGACAGCCATGTTCCCACGTGGCATGCAGTCATTACGTCTCCTGGGGATTCTCTGGGACTTTCTCTGCTCCACGACCTTGACAGGTGGGAGGAGGGGCTGACCCGTGTTTTGTGGAGTCCCTGGTGTGAGTGTGTGTGGCGTGTTTTCCCGGTTAGCGTAGGCCCACGGCTTGGAGGAGGAGAGCTCAGACACGAAGCGAGCGCAGCGTCGTGGCGCACCCTCCAGAGCTCTGGCGTCCTCCACAGCTCCTGCTGACACTGACCTTGAGGCGCAGGCTGAGGGGCACCTAAGTTCCTGTCCTCATTCATTCCACAGATGTTTACTGAGCACCTACTGAATGCTAAATAGTGCAGGGCTCGGAACAGAAAATTAAGATACGCCTCTGCCCTAGCTCCTTCCTGAACCAGCAGGGAAAAGGATTTCATAGCGGGACTCGCAGAGCGTGGTGATGCACGCCAACAATCAAGACTCCGGGAGGCTGAGGCAGGAACAGCCAAGCCTGAACCACTTAGTGGATCACAGAGACCCTTAAGAGACCCTGTCTCTCTTAAGTAAATTGAGGAAAGGAATGCTTAGACCAGGTCCTGGGGAGACCCTGGGAGGGAGGGGAAGGGGCGGGGCTAACTCTGGAGGAGACCTTCTGGGAATGCTCCGCAGCTGTGGATGGAGCCCAGTGAGGGCGCAGGTCTTGAGCCCAAACTCGAGGTGGCTCCAATCCTTCTTCGGATCCCCCAGCAGGGATCGAGCCGGATGACAGGGAAGGATCGGACAGCCAGGCCTGGCCTGAAGAGTGGGCAGGGCCCGAGCAGACAGTACCCTGGTCCAGGCCAACAGACAGACCAGAAGTAGGAGGTCACCCCTCCTGTCTAAAATGCAAAGCCGGTGAGCTCCTACCTGAGCCGGCAGGGAAGGTTCTGGCGTCTGCAGACCCTGCTCTTGTGAAGCCCCGCCCACCCCTGCCTGCTTCCACCCACAGGCTCTCCGCCAGCCCACTTAATTTGCATAATCCAAGCAACCCCACCCTCACACCCAGTGCACAATTCCACGAAGTTTTGCACCCATGCAGCGTTGTGCAATCAGGACTGTTAGCGAATCCGGAACAGTTCCGTCCTCCCAAAGGGAGACCCGTGCGGATTCTACAGCCATTCCTCTTCCCAGATTCCCCCAGCTCCGGCAAGCACAAGCCAATTTTCCATCCCGATGGATCTGCCTGTCCTGGATATTTGATACGTATGTGGAGACATACAATTAGAGGCCTCTTGTGGCTGGATTTCCCCCCACCCAGCACAATGGCTTTAAGGCGTGTCCATGGCGAAGCACATGTCAGTGCTTCCTTCTGTTAGTGGCTGAGTGATGCTCCGTGGCAGGATGGCCCACTTCATGCAATGCCTGCCTTCATTGCCGGACATTGGCGTTGTTTCTGCTCTGGAGCCGTTGAGGACCGTGCTGCTGTGCTTGGATGAAGCATTTTCATCTGTCTGGGTAGATAGCTAGGAGGGGAATGCTGGACTGGATGCTAACTCTGTTTAAGGTTTCGAGAAACTGTCTGGCTGTTTCTCATCCTACCCTATCTTTTATTCCTGCCTCGGTGGAGGAAACAGAAACATGAATGGGGGGGGGCTGTTGGAGCCTTTTCTGGCCCTTGGCAATCCTGGCCCCAGCAGCGTCTGCATAAGGGCTGTGGACTCGCCAGTGGTCCCCATCATGGAGGCCCCCAGAGGGAGATCCCAGGGACCTAAAGGACCCACGCCATGGGGAGGACATGGGAAGAAGCGGTGCCACATGGGAAACTGTGACCCAGCTGGCCAGAGGGCAGGAATCATTCACCTGGAGGGCTTGACCATGGACAAAGAAGCATGCCTGGTGGTGTCGGAGCACGGGACACCAGGACACCCACAGCCTCAGCTCCACCATCCTGATGGTACAGGATCCAGGCCCATCCTGAGCCAACATGACAGGGAGGGCACAGTGGGGACCCATACCAGGACCCCATGGGCAGCAGACAGAGTGTGGGGGCTAAGAACTTGCACTGAATATGGGGACTCTTGGGCCCCTCCATTCCCAGGCAGCAAGGGAGGATGGTGGGTGTCCTCCTGTGAGGGATGGCTCTGCTCACAGTCACCTGCCTGGGACACTGCCCAGCCCCACAGCAGCCCAGGGTCCATGCTGCCCACGAGGGCCTGGGCTGTTGAGAGCCAGGGTGCTGTGGACAGGGAGGCAAGCAGCCCTAGATCCATATCTGCCAGTTTCCCAGGGTGAGGAGGTGTCAGCAGTGCAGGACGTGTGTGTGTGTGCACATGCGCGTGTCCATGAGTGTGAACATGTTGAGTCAGAGTGGGGGTGGGGCAACAGCAATGCGAGTGCATGCAAGGGCGCTTCGATGTAGATGTGAAAGAGTGTGCACCTGAGTGTGTGCACACATATAGAAGGGTGCACGAGCATGTGTACGTGTGTGGAGGAGCCTCTGCATGATGTATGTGAGTGGATGAGTGCAACGCCCCAATGGGTGTGTCCATGTGTACATGTTTTGTGTGTCAGTGTGCCAAAGAAAGTGTTACCCAAGTGTGTGTGTGTATGCATGTGTGTGGCATGTGGGTGTGAATAAGAATGTATATGTGTGTGAATGGGTTGCATGTGTCCCAGGGAGTCTCTGTCTCACTGTGTGGGGGGGTGAGTGTATATGGCTGTGCATGCGCATGCACACGTGTATGTGTGTGTGTGTGTGTGTGTGTGTGTGCACAGACTGCAGGAGGTGCTTTCCAGGCTTGGGCAGTGTTTGGACAGCATGAGGATGAGTCAAGAGAAAGTTCTGGAGGGATCAGAAGATTCCTGCCTCTCAGACTGTAAATTTCAGCTCTGTGTATTTAATGCATTTTATTTCCTGTGTGAAATGCACATGAATATGTGATAAGCGGCTGAACAGACCGTCCTGGGGTGGCCCCTGGGCTTCAGGAGTTTTATCAGAACCTCTCAGCTCCTCGAGGGGGTGAGGGTAAAGCCGACACCCCCAGGCTGGGTCCCCTCTGCCCAGCACGGACAGGAGCCTCTCACTCCACACCCTGACTTTGCTGTGGCCAGACCCAGTGGGGGTTCCGAAGCCCTGACCCTGGCCTCAGCCTCCTCCCGCCTTCCAGCTCTGAAGCTGCCGCCACAGCCTCTCCCTGTCCAGAAAGATCTCTCTGCTCAGCGTTTCTTGTCTGGCTGGGCTAGCTATAGCTCAGGCTCTGCAGCAGGCTCACAGTGGCCCCTCTCAGGAATGATTAACTCCTGAGAGTTAATCTGTTGGTGGCCTGGCCTCTGGGGCAGGAGGTGCCCAGCCAGCTGGGCCATGGGAGGTCCCAACAGGCCAGGGAGCCCCAGGGGGCCAGAGATAGGACCAAGGCTATTGGAGCTGCCTGCCCAGAGGAGGCTTCTGGGCCCCACCCCATAGAGGGCAGTGGGGGGCGGAGTCAAGTGCAGGCCAGGGTGAAGGCCAGCTGGCTGTAGACTGGGTGCAGGAAGCTGCCTGGTGACCTGGAGAGGCTATAGCTGTGACATGCTCTGCTGCCTAGAGAGCAGGGAGCCAGCCAGGCCCCTCTGGGGGCCGAGCTAGGTGGGGTACCAGGGCCTGGAGCAGACTCGGATGCCAAGCACCCCAGGGAGAGGGGGAAGGGCCCATGCCATGGGGCCAGGCCAGAGACTGAGACCTGTGTGCGCTTCTGCCTCCAAGACCCAGGTACCTTCATTTGCTCAGACCCTGGGTGCCAGCTGAGCTCACTAGGAAGAACGGGACAGCATCCCCAGCTCCTGCCTCCCCGCTAGAGCAATCTCCAGCTCCAGGAACCCCTTCCAAGGAGGGTGCCGGCTCCCACACAGCCAGCAGCGCTGCACAGGCCTTGGCCCAAGGCAGGAGCAATGGGCAGTGTTTCGGGGTGGACACCAAGTGCCAGGCGCCACTGTGACACCTTACGTTCCACAGCTGCTCAGGCCTTGCAGGCACTCTGGGGCCTGTCAGGTAGGGCCTCAGTCTGGAGACCAGAGAAGGCAAGCTCTTGCCAACATCCACACAGCTGCTCAAGAGGCGCCAGACCTCAGACCTCAGGTCCATTTGAACCCAGAGCCTTTGTTTCAATGCAGTGCTGATCGGCTCCTACCAGGCTGGCGGAGGGCGAGAAGCCAGTACCCTTGAAGCCCCAGAAAGTTAAGGCAGACCTTGCCAGGAAGAATAAAGGGATGTGCATTGTACATGGCTGGCAGAGGTCAGGACCCCAGCAGGGCCCGCAGGTCTGGCTGTGAGTCCGCCAGGGCACAGGTTCCTAGCACTTGGATGTGTACCCTGGCTTCCCAGCCCGAGGGGAGTCGACTCTTCTGGCCATCGGCAGCACCAGACAATTAACAGTGGAGAATAATTGCCCTGGCCGTGCCAGCAGCCCACTCTGGTTTATGAGATGGAGAAGGTCAGAGGCTTTTGCTGGGCTCCCACAGCCAGCCAAAGCTGGAGAAAGTGACCACAATGTCAGAAGGGCCTCTGCACCCCTCAGGGCCTGCAGAGGGCTTGGGACTTTGGGTGAGAGGAAGCCATGGGCACAGGCCCTGCAGCAGACTTGGGCTGTGGAGCTAAGCCTTGGCCTTCACGTCCAGGGTCAGCAAGGCGGCTCTGCTGCTGGCCTCAGGCCCGGCCCTGTGCAGGAACCTGGCCAGGATCCCCATGCCAGGGTCTGGGTAGAAGGAGCTGACCTGGCTGGCCGCTGTGTCAGGGCACATGGAACCCAGGGATCCCCAGGGGCAGCCCAGCATTGGAAAGCCTGGGGTAAGGAAGAGGGGTCCAGGAGGGCAACTACACAGTACTGATCACATGCATCTCTGCACCCCAGATAGAGCTGTGACCTGGCCCCGTTCGCAGCCAACTAGCCTGCCCACCATGGCAAGCCCCACGCTGAGCCCCGACTCCTCGTCTCAGGAGGCCCTGTCGGCTCCCACCTGCTCCCCCACCTCCGACTCTGAGAACCTCAGCCCCGATGAGCTGGAGCTCCTGGCTAAGCTCGAGGAGCAGAACCGGTGAGTAGCGCTCGGGGGAGCTGGGTGGGGCTCTGACTGCAGCCTCCCCCATCCCCCACCCCCAGAAGTTCCCAGGGCCCCTTCACACAACAAGGTAACAGGTAATCTGGGGACACTTAGGAGGGCATCTGCTGGGCATGGTGGTGCACACCTGTAATCCCAGTACTTGGGAGGCTGAGGCAGGGGGCTGCCATGAATTCAAGGCCAGCCTGGAATATGTAGTGAATTCAAGGCCAGCCTGAACCACATAAAGAGAACTTGTCTTAAAAAATAAAAGTAAAGAGGTCAAGTGAACTTGGCTATCATTTTCCAAGCTGTTTTTATACCCCCACACCTCCGCCACCTTCCTCTCTGGCCTGCCCCTGCCTTAACAGCCAGGGGTGTTGTCTTTTTGTGGGCTGTTCTGTTTGGTTTTGTTTGTGGTGCTGGGGATGAACACACGTGCTAGGCCAGTTACCTCCACCCCAGCCCAGGTAGGCTTTATATGACTCAGATGCCAGGAGATGACCACAATGAAAGGGGTACTTCCCAAGGCATGGGACCAACCCGTGCTCTGCAGGGCCACTCTGAGAAGCGCAGGGGTCAGTCTTGAGGCCTTAGTAGTGGTTTCCATGGGAAGGAGCAGGCACAGCCCTGGTGTCGGTCACCTGCCACACTGTGATCTAAGCAGGTGGACATTGAAGCAGGTAGGAAGGCAAGGTAGAGGAGGCGAGCAGGGTGTGGGCTTGGGATTGCTTGGTTTGCATATAAAAGGTGTCCTCGAAGGGAGCTGGTCCTTTTCTTTCCCCAGGAACTAGCTGGCAGCAGGAGGGCCGCCCCTCTGGGATCCCCAGGGCCCAGCTGTTGAAGCCAGAAGCACAGAGTTGCTAGGAGAGATGGCACACACCTGTCATCCCAGCACTCCAGGAGGCAGAGGCAGGAGGATCACAAGTTCAGGCCCCGCCTGGGCAATTTAGTGACTTAGTGAGACCCTGTCTTAAAATTTTTTTTAAAAAAAGGACTGGGCTTTAGTTGGGCATGAAGGTCCTGCATTCCATCCCCAGTATTAAGAAAGAAGAAGAAAGAAAAGAAAGACCAAGTTAATATAGCCCCTCCATGGTAGGAGGGTTCCACCAGGTCTCTCTCTCCGAACCCCACCTATAAAATGGGGGCCTCCCCAACCCACCCACAGCCTCAAGTGGGGAGCTTAGGGAGGTGGGTACACATGGTACTCCGCCATCATCATCTTAGGCCCAGTGGATGAGGACGAGCCTCGGGCTTAGAGCATTGGTCAGAGCTGCTCAGCAGAGATGACTCGGACTGGTCCCTGGAGTCCCCCAGAGCCCTGGCCCAGGAAGCCCTAGGAGCCACTCCTGCCCCTCCCTCCTTTCAGGCTCCTGGAAGCCGACTCCAAGTCTATGCGCTCCATGAATGGCTCACGGCGGAACAGCGGCTCCTCGCTGGTGTCCAGTTCCTCGGCCTCCTCCAACCTGAGCCACCTGGAGGAGGACACGTGGATCCTATGGGGACGCATCGCCAACGAGTGGGAGGAGTGGCGACGGCGGAAGGAGAAGCTGCTCAAGGTGGCCGGGCCGGTGGGGTCACTCGGCCAGGGCAAAGTGGCACAAACCAGGCTGTGCAGACAGGGCACAGGATAGAGCTGGAGAGGCCAGTGCCACAGGGCCTTGCGCTCTCTGCCCGCGGAGTTGGGCTGCCCGCTGCATGCCATGGACTCTGACCACGGCAGAGGCTGGGATCACCTCAGTGCCAGGGGCGGAGGGGCAGGGGAGGGCACGGCGCCCTGCAGGGGCTGGAGCTGAGTCCAGCCCGGCCTGCCCGCCCTGTCCCATGCAGGAGCTGATCCGCAAGGGCATCCCGCACCACTTCCGGGCCATCGTGTGGCAGCTCCTATGCAGCGCCACGGACATGCCAGTCAAGAACCAGTACTCAGAGCTGCTCAAGATGTCCTCGCCCTGCGAGAAGCTGATCCGCAGGGACATCGCCCGCACCTACCCAGAGCATGAGTTCTTCAAGGGCCAGGACAGCCTGGGCCAGGAGGTCCTCTTCAATGTCATGAAGGTCAGGCCGCGCAGCCCCCGCCCCTGGGGTCAGTCCCTGGGCCGCCCTGTGCTCACGCCACCTCATTCCTCCCAGGCGTACTCTCTGGTGGACCGGGAGGTGGGCTACTGCCAAGGCAGTGCGTTCATCGTGGGCCTGCTCCTCATGCAGGTAGGCGGCAGAAGGAGGGCGGTCAGCCCCAGAAGGGGGCACAGCCTTCCTCTCCAGCCAGCTGCGCCCTCTGACTGCCGGGCCAGGTGCCCCGTGGGTGGACACGGCACCAGGACTGACACTGTTCAGGCTAGGACAGACACAGGCTTGAGCGCCAGCACCCAAGCTGGGGCTGGGTGGGACTTCAAACAGCCAGCGTGGTGCTCAGGGCCCCCGGGGCTGCTCCAGAGGAGCCAGAAGGTTAAGGACGGGCAGGCAAAGAGCAGCAGGGGCCTGGGGTGCACCAGACCAGGGCTCCAGCCCCAGCCCGGGCATTTCCTGTGTGTGGAGGCCAGCCAAGGACTTCAGCCTCGGCTTCTCAGCAGGAGAGCAGCGACCGAGTGCCGCGTCTCTCAGCAGCTTGTCCTAGCATCCTCAAACGTGCGCGGGGGGCCCATGCCCGCACCTTGCATGCACACTCAGCCCCACCCGTTCCCCCAGATGCCAGAGGAGGAGGCCTTCTGCGTGTTCGTGCGGCTAATGCAAGAGTATCGGCTACGGGAGCTCTTCAAGCCCAGCATGGCGGAGCTGGGGCTCTGCATCTACCAGTTTGAATACCTGCTACAGGTGAGCAGCCTGGGAAGCCAGGAGGTCCTGTTCCCAGGAGTCCCTTGGACTGAAAACACCAAGCCTGAGTAATGGTGATTGGAGAGCCCAGCCGAGAGGGGGCATCTGTGTCCATGGGGCCTGCGAGCTCTGCCCTAGAGGATGCTGGGAAGGCCTGCACAGGGACTCCGAGTACCTCAACCCAGGCTGAGGCCAGGGCAGGGCTGCTGTCAGACACACCTACGGCCTCCCTGGGCACTGCCGTGGTGGAGGGGGTGAGTGTAGTCTGGCTGAGGCTGCTGATTACCGGAGCGCGAAGACGGCTGTTTATAAATAGCAGCCCCCGCAGGGCCGGCTCCTGGCTGCAGACAGTGCCAAGCAGTGCGCACTCACACACCACTTCCATGCACCGGCTTGTGCTGGAACCCCATGGCAGGGCGCCGTGCCACATGGGAGGACCCACCTCCTGAGGACAGGTGGCGTTCTACTGCAGGGCCCAGCCTGCAGACAAGGGGGGGTCCCCACCCCAGGCTAGTGACCCCACAGCCATGAGGACCTGTAGATCCAGGCGCAGAGAGCCCCTGGCTCCGGGAGGAAGCCCAGGGTCCAAAGGGCTTCTCCAGCCTCGGTTTCCCTAGTGGTCCCTCCCTGTGCAGCAGCCTGAGTGGGGGCCACCTAAATGGGTATCCTCTGAGCACCTCCATGCTGGGGACCATGATGGGCATAGCAGCCAGCGAGTCACATATCTAGATGAGCTGTCTACCCAGGGACTGTCGGGCCCACATCTCATTCCCTGGGTGGCCTTGGGGAGTGACATAAGCTCCCTCTGGGACAGTCTAGAAGACACCACCAACTGCTGTCAGTCAAATGGTCGGGCAGATCCTAACTCCCAGTGGACACATGATACATCGTAGCTGCCAAGGCTCCAGCCATTGCTCCCTACTTCATGTTCCTTACGCTCCAAGGAAAGGACCTTTGGGCAGTTCAAGGAAGGCTCCCTGGGATGTCAAGGCCCAGCATCCCAGGTAGGAGGGAACCCACTCTGCCCAACACTGCTTTCCCATGCCTGCTGGCCTCCTCACACCCTGCAGGAGCAGCTTCCGGAACTGAACACCCACTTCCGCTCTCAGAGCTTCCACACGTCCATGTATGCCTCATCCTGGTTCCTCACGCTCTTCCTCACCACCTTCCCCCTGCCCGTGGCCACTCGAGTCTTCGACATCTTCATGTATGAGGTGAGGGTCTCAAAGGGCACCCTCCTGTCTGCTGTGGATGGTGAGTGACCCCGGGCCACCAGACAGCCCTGCTGAGTTTCACGGCCCTGGCCTTTGCAGGGGCTGGAGATCGTGTTCCGGGTGGGCCTCGCCCTGCTGCAGGTGAACCAGGCGGAGCTCATGCAGCTGGACATGGAGGGCATGTCGCAGGTGGGCCGGGGACACTGAGGGGCCTGAGTAGGCAGAGCAGGCACCTGGCATGGGGCGGAGGAGGGCCCAGGCCAAACCCCAGGAGCCGGCTCAGCCAGATCCCCAGAACCTGCTGGCCGAGCAGCCCCAACTGACCCAGATGTGGTTCCAACTCCTGTGCCCTGGCCAGGCCCTGGCTGCCCATGGCCCGGGTACCAGCCTCCCTCTCACCACCAGGTCCCCCGCAGGCAGGCCCTGCCCCCTCCAGCAGCCTCCAGCTGGTGCTCTGGGGAAGAAAGCACAAAGCCACAGTTGTGTCTGTGAACACGGGCACCCATTGTCCACCACTGCCAGAAGGGGCAACGTGGCCTGGTTGCGGGCCACAGGCTGCATCCGCGGCTCCCCTTGAGGGGCCGACACGCCCACCCCTTCCTTCCCGCCTTTGCCCCTGCAGGGCTGGAGCCTTGCCCCTGGGCGGCACCTGGAGGCCAGCCCCCTTCCCTCCCCCTCTTCCTTCCTCTTCCCTCCCCTCCCCAGACGCAGGTCTCACGCGCCCTCATTCATTCACTCCACAAGCACTCCCACCCCAGCGAAGGCCCGGCCCTGTGTTGGGGACACGGCTGTCCGTACCCCAGGTGGCAGCAGGACACAGAGGTGAGTCCCTATGTCCCCACAGTACTTCCAGAGGGTGATCCCCCACCAGTTCGACAGCTGCCCAGACAAGCTGGTGCTCAAGGCCTACCAGGTCAAGTACAACCCCAAGAAGATGAAGAGGTCAGTGCGGGCGCCGTCACGGGCCGCGGGCAGGGCAAGGCCTGGGCAGCCACGGCGGGGGTCACATGCGCCCCTCCCCGCAGGCTGGAGAAGGAGTATGCAGCCATGAAGAGCAAGGAGATGGAGGAGCAGATCGAGATCAAAGTGAGTCCCGGGAGGGAGTCCGGAGCGCAGCGCACCCTGTAGGGCAGCTCCAGAGCTGGCCGCTAGAGGGCAGCGCGGCCCGGCATCCTCCGCCCTGGCAACGCCTTGGTAAACAAGACAGTCGAGGTCCTGCCCTTCTAGGGACCAGGGCCGCCTGAGATGCGTAATAAACCACTCAAATGGCGTGGGCTTTGCAGAGTGCTCTGGGCGCGAGCGCGCGGGGGGAGAGGCGCGGGGCGGGGAGGCCAGGCCCAGTGAACCAGGGCAGAAAGCCCAGGAGGCGGCCCGGAAGCTCCGCCAGGGCCCGGCAGGGAACTGAAAGAGGTGTGGCAGGGGAGCCGGGAGAGCAAGGCGGGCAGGCACCAGGCGCCCGTGTGGGCACCCACACAGGGCCGCGTACCCTGACATCCCATCCCCCAGCCCTGCCAAGATCGGGGCTCCCTGAGGCCACATTCCCCTCCTCACCTTCCATTTCACCCTCCTGCACCATTGCTATTAGTCATTCAAGCATGGGTTTATTTATTGGAGGTTTCTTGAGACAGGGTCCAGTTATGTAACCCAGGCTGAGCTCGAACTCCTCGCGATCCTCCTGCCTCAGCCTCTCCTGTGCTAGGATTACTGTCATGCACCACCATGCCCTCCGACAAGCATTCAGTACCTGCTTATGCCAAGGTTCAGCTGAGAATGAGGGTCCTCTGGCCCGCTGCCAGGGACTGATGGGGATACACAGACTGGCTCTGTCCTCTTTAGGACCTGGGTCAGACAATGGCTGAAAGTGGAGTGTAACAGACTGACACTCACAGGCCCCTGGCCGGTGAACTCGCCTCTCTAGGCCTCAGCTGGCTCTGTCCACAAAGTGGAGGCATTCGCTGTGCTGTTGGGATTAGCATCGTCCCTCCATTGCTGTCAGCATTGTCCCCACCTCCTGTAGGAAGAAGGTAGGGCCAGAAAGTAGATTAGAATCTGGGTGACTGCCACGCATACCTGAGGAGGAGTCCAGCTACTGTCCAGGCGCTGACAGTAGGTATTCCAGAAATCCTTGGTGCCCTGGGTTTTTGAGCGACCCCCTTTCTCAGGAAGCATGGCTTGCCGCATGCCCAGGTCCGAGCACTTGTGCTTCCCTTGCTTCTACACAGCCGAGGACGGGCTCTCGTCCTTACTGTGAGGCCCAGTGTGGCAGGGATGCGGCAGACCCAGGGCCGGGGCGCCAACCTGCACACTCCCCCCTGAGGACCGCGAGAGCCCCAGGGGCCTTAAGTGACCGCACAGGCGCCTTCTCACACAGCCCTGCCCGTTCCCCTCCACCGGTAGCCTGTTTTGCAGTGTACCAGAGATTTGTGTGCATCAGGTACGGCGTGGCGACAGGCACAGAGACACCTTGTAAAGAGTTTATTACTCAGAGGTCCCAAGAGAGGGGACAGCCAGCCCAGGCAGGGCCCACCTAGGTGGAGCCAGTGTCAGCTAGCCCAGGAGAAGCAGGCAGCCAGGGGCAGAGGTGTGCATGGGAATACGCCATCACGCGTGCGGGAGCCGCCAGAGCAGGCATCCAGGGGCAGAGGTGTGAACAGGGATACGCCATCACGCGTGCGGTTTCCACAGGAGGAGCCGCCAGAGCAGGGCAGGCAGGTGGGGACAGGCTCCGCACCTGACAGGGACAGTGGCAGGACCCACAGGGGATCACCTGTTGTCCAGGACGAGGCCTGGGATGATTTCCAAAGGGGGAAGCAACAGCTTGGTGTGTGCCAGTGAGGAAAAGGAGGGGTCCGAGATTTGGGCTTTGGGCGGATTCTGGGTACAGGCACACACCATTCCCTAGCAGTGAGCTCACCCAGAATTCGTGAGGCACGGTGTCGACACACCGTAAAGCACAGGCAGATATTCCCTGTTTTTTTTTTTTCTTTTCCTTTTCCTTTTTTTTTTTTTTTTTTTGGTGGAAGTGGGGATTGAACTCAGGCCCTTGCACTTGCCAGGGAAGCACTTATTCTGCTGAGCCATCTCCCCAGACCCCATGCCCCGTTTTTTGATCGAGTTCGGATCCTGCCTCGAGGCCGCTAAACGAGGAGCCATGTACAGTCCATGCATGACAACATTCAGCGCGAAGAAGTGGCCAAAGGCAGCTCCAGCTGGATGGCTTGGCTTTTATCTGCGTAACTCTTATAAGCAGTACTGTAACGTAGATCAAGAGTGCTGTACAGCACAATCAGCAAGAGACAGCAATGTAGAAACAAGGTGAATTATGCAAAAGGACCAAGGCTCTATAAACCAGATATACAGAAGTTTACAAAACAAAGACAGGTCAAGAGTCCAAGCAGCTGGGTTGTAAGTCTGAACAGTCATTGAACACGTGGGTCATTAAACCATATCTGCACAGGAAAAAAAAAATCCATGCTTAGTGCATAGCTTCCTGCCTGGTCCTCCTCGCCTCCTTTTCGTTGGGCTAAGAAGGAAAGAGAGGACTTCTGGGCCAGGCCCGTCCAAGTCCTCCAACAATACCTGTTTGGTACCTTGACAGGTCGGTTGAGGCCAGAGAAGGCAGAGCAACCCTCGGGGCAGGGCCCCTACCCATGCCTGCCCTGTCAGTGCTGGGAGACTGGGACACACCCCTGCCCCCACCGGTCGTTTCCCCCCACGATGTCAGTCGGTGGCCATCACCACCTCCACTTCCTGAAACCATTGCACCAGTTCTCCCACAGGCAGCACAGGAAATGCTCCGTGCCGCCCACGGGCGAGACCCACACCCCATGATCCAAACCATTTTTCCATCCCCAGGGTGCAGATCAGGGCAGACCGCACACGCAGTAAATGTCCCAGTTCCCCAAAGCTGAGAACACCTACCCAGCATCCCTCAGCTCGGGATAGAAGGCAAAGAAGTCTCCATAAAGTCACAGAGGTGGAGCCGTGGAGCGAGGGAAGCCTGCGTGTCTGGCACGCAGGACCCAGATTCAGAGAGCAGTTCCTGCAGGAGACCCTGACCCAGGGGCTGGGGTTTGACAGACCTAAGCATGGGTTGTAAACAGACTTCTGGGGATCCCACAGTGGTGGAAGCTCTCAATGCCTTTGGTAAAGTTTTCGGTTGCATGCTTGCTTTGCTTGGTTTCTTTGTGGCATTGGCAATGGAACTCCTTTGCACTGCGCTACATCCCCAGCCCTTTTTTATTTATTTATTTATTTTTGCAGAACCGGGGATTGAACACAGGCCCTTGCGCTTGCCAAGCAAGCGCTTATTCTACTGAGCTATCTCCCCGGCCCCCCACCCCCAGCCCTTTTTATTTTATTTTTTTAAAATTTATTTATTTTATTTGTGTGTGTGTGTGTGTGTGTGTGGCCAGCTCAGCCCACCAGGGGGCGGGGCGGGCTGGCATGTGGTGCTGGGGGATTGAACCACGGGCCCTGTGCTTTGCTAAGCTTGTTCTAAGTAGGTGCTTTAGACCACTGAGCCATCTCACTAGCCCCTATTTTTTTTATTTTTGAGACAGGGGTCCCACTGAGTTGCCCAGGCTAGCCTCAAACTTGAGATCTTCCTGCTCCAGCCTCCCAGAGTGCTGAGGAGATTGAGGGTGTGCACTGTGTCTAGCAATGTTGTTTTACATTTTGAAAAATTTCTTATCAGTACATGTTTGTAGTACGTAATGATTGCACTCCTTATGGGGAGTTGGTACCTGTGTTTGATAGCACACCTCTGTTGTTCTTTTGAGACAGGGTTTCCTTGTCTCGGGTTCAGGCTGGCCTTGAGCTCACTGTGTAGCCCAGGCTGGTCTCGAACTCACCAGGCTCCTTCTCCCTCAGCCGCCTGAGGGCTGGGATTACAGGTGTGCCCCACCAAGCCTGGCTACTTAATAGCACATCTTAATTCTTTTTTTAATCTCCTTGCCCTCCCTCCCTGTTTCCTCCATTTCTTGGTTCCTGTCCCTTTTACAAAAGATCTGTCTCCCTGTTTCCTATTTTTCTTTTCTTTTGCTCTTCATGTATAATTTGGGTTTCTCATATAAGAGAAACCATGCAGAATTTAAGCCCACGTGTCTAATTTACTTAAAATGATGGTCTCAAGTGCCTCCACTTTCCTACAAATGACTCCAATTTATCCTTCTTTATGGCAGAGTAGTGCTCCCCTGTGTACAAATACAGTACCACATTTTCTTTAATGGGCGACTCTGAACGGGATTGTTGGGCTCTGCCTCTGAAACCACTGATCCAGAATGTAAGACCCGGGCTCCGTCCTGCCTGAAGGTGGACTCGCCCCACGGGGGCCCCACCTGGACTTCAGTGGTGAGTGCATGAGAGGGACGTGTGTGTGGGAACTGGGGCAGATCCTCACGTGTCTCCCTCTCCCACCGCAGAGGCTTCGGACTGAGAACCGGCTCCTGAAACAGCGGATCGAGACCCTGGAGAAGGTGAGCAGTGTGGGTGCCCGGCCGGGGCTCTGAGTCGCACAGGCCTCTTCCTGGCCCACATCCGGGACCTGTCTTGAACCAGCAGGCTCTGAGAAGCACTGAACCCACTGAGGCCTGGCTGAGGCTTGGGATGACCTGTAACGGGGCTCTGCTCTCACTGGCAATGTGGTTAACTCGGGTTTGGAGCTGAGTTATGACCATGGGTTGCAAACATGACAGTCCTGGGCCCCGCACTGTTAAAGAGGGTAGAATTGGTGGCTTCCCTGGGCCCAGCCCCAGGACTCCACTTCCTGCTCCTCCCATTGACCACAGGAAGTGAGTGGGTCATGGGAAGCCTGTATTGCCCTTGCCCCAAAAACCTCAATTCTTGCTCCCCCTTAAAACATATTCCCAATCCCAGACCTCCCTAGATGCTCCTCCTCACAATGAAGCTGTTTTATCCAGGTATGGTGGTGCACACCTGTGATCCCAGCACTCAGGAGGCTGAGGCAGGAGGATTTCCATGAGTTCGAGGCCAACCTGGACTACATAGTGAGATCCTGTCTCCAAAAAAATTTTAAAAGGCCAGGCATGGTGGTACATGCCTGTAATCCCAGGACTTGGGAGGCTGAGGCAGGAGGAGCACTTTGAGTTCACGGCCAGCCTGGGCTACATAGTGAGTTCAGGACCAGCCTGAACTACACAGCAAAGCCTTGTCTCAAAAACAAGCAAACAAACAAACAAACAAACAAAAAAAAAAAAAACCCAGTGAGGCCAACGTGCACTGCACTGAGATTTCCTGGCCGGCCCCAGCCCTGCGGCCGCCCGCCCTCCCTGCGATCCCCTCTCCAGGATGGAGCTGGCTCTGGCTTTGGGCTTCCTCTGAGTCCTCTCCTGCTGGGTCTGTGGTCTTCACTCCTCTCTCCCCTGCTTCTAGAGGTAGTCCGCTGCGTTAGTGACGAGTGGTTCTTGTCTGTCTCTCCCTCTCCTGTCCCGCACCCTCCGCTCTGCCTCCTCCCCCTGTCGCTCGGAACCCCCTTCGCCCGCCCGCCCGCGTGCCCACCTGGTAGGAGAGCGCTGCTCTGGCTGATAGGTTAATCCAGGTACTGTAGCTTTTTGTCTCCCTCTCCGGGTTCCGTCTTTCCTGGCCCCTTCCCCGCACATAACAGCCAGTCACCGCCTCTTCTCTGGCCGCTGCCATTCGAGGGGCGAAGAGGGGCAGGCCTGACATCGTGCGGTGCATGGGGCACTTCTGCTTCTTCCAGGGAGGGGGCGTGTGGGATAGAGAGGGCGCATGAACACACCCTCCTGGTGGGGAGCCAGGTGGGGGAGCCAGGAGGGCTTGGGACCCTGGGCATCGGCTCAGGCCCCAGTGCGCGCACTGTGCTAGGCTCAGACCTCACGCTGACACCAGGCATGTGCACGCGCGCATGCGTGCACACACCCTCTGGCCCCTCGTGCCCCTCTGCTTCCACCATGCCCGCCGCCTTCCCCACCTGCTTCTGTGCCAGTTCACCTTGAATGGCTTCATCTCAACGCTTCCTACCCTGGTGGCTCCAAGCCTGGAATGGGGTCCAAAGTGGATGGGGGGATGAGAGAGCAGGGGGCTGTCTCAGTGTCCTGAAGGTGCAAGAGCCCAGTGAGATTTATAGTCCTCATCCCAGCCCTGAGAAGAGCTCTGGGGCTCTTGGCTGCCCCAGAACACCACCCTCCCCACAGAGCCCGCTCAGAAAGGGACAGGCAGCCTCTGCTGTGCCCTTGGCCCTGGGGCAGGGCAGGAAAGGGGCTGGCAGCATCCCTGGAGGGGGACCCGGTCCCTTACTTAAGCATGATAAACTGGGGAGTCATTTCCTGCTTTCCCCCACCTCCTACACCCCCACACTGGCATGGGCACCCCATTCCAGGCTGAGTGCAGGAGGCCTTGCTTTCACCCCTTCCTCGCCCACCCACCCGCTCTGGGCCTTCTCTGTGGCCACAGGCAGGGACTGGGATGAAGGCAGGAAGTCATGGCCCCTTCCTCGCTGTGCTCAGGGCCAGGTGACACGCGCGCAGGAGGCCGAAGAGAACTATGTCATCAAGCGGGAGCTGGCTGTGGTGCGGCAGCAGTGCAGCTCAGCTGCCGAGGACCTGCAGAAGGCACAGAGCACCATCCGGCAGCTGCAGGAGCAGCAGGTAGCCCCCAGGCGCCACCCTTGCCTAGTACCTGTCAGGGCCCTGGATGGCCCGTCTCAGCGGGGTTGTCCTGTGCCTCAGAAGGGGTGAGGTCACCAGCATGCATTCCCTCCCCAGCTGCCTCCAAGCAGCAGCAGCCTCAGACCCAGGGGCAACTGGAGGTTGACTTCCTGCTTCCAGGGGGGCATCTGCATCTAGCCAGACAGCACCCTTGGTCCCAGCACTGAGGCCACTGAGAACCAGAGGCTTTGAGCTCTGGCTTGGGAAGCAGGGGTGAAGAGATGGGCGGGGCCCAAGGGCGCTTGCTCAGGCCCCGCCCAGCAGAGGTGCGGCTCCACGCCTGGTGCCCACCTGAGCGAGGGAGGGCTCCAGACACCCAGAGCACCACAGTGGTCCAGGGCACAAAGCTGGAGGTCCTCATTAAGGTAGGAGGTACCTGCTAGATGAGGTTAAGGGTATCCCCCAGGAATCTGCCCTGCCAGGCCACCAGGGCAGCATGGTTCCTATCTCAGGCCCAGGTACAGCCAGGCCTCCCAAAACAAACTGTCCCCATCCATCAAGCTTTGAAATTGAGCAGGACAGGGAGGCAGAGGAAGGACTTCAGGGGCCAGGGCTGAATCCCAAGCCCTGCCCTGGCCACCCTGCTAGGGACCCTGGGACACTACACAGTGACCAGTCCCTCAGAGGGCATTCTGAGGCCATGGAAAGTTCCCTCAATACAGCCTCCCTAGGAAAGTGTCTTGGCCACTTGGGTCACCCAGGGACAGGACACTCAGGCATGCAGAGTGGGGCTTAACCCAGCACGCCCATACCTGCATCCTTGCCCCTGCTTGGGGGCTCAGTGGAGGGGGCCAAGGCCCCACATGGCACCCTGCCTCCCCAGGAGAACCCGCGCCTCACAGAGGACTTTGTGGCCCACCTGGAGACAGAGCTGGAGCAGTCCAGACTTCGGGAGACAGAGACGTTGGGGGCCCTGCGGGAGATGCAGGACAAGGTTCTGGACATGGAAAAGGTGCAGCCACGGGGGTGTCATGGGCAAGTGTCAGGGGACCGGAAAGGAAAGGGGGTCCCCAGAAAGCTCTGGGGGTGCAGAAGGAAGGGCAACCAGGCCCTATGGAGGAAGTGCCCTCACCGGTTGCTCTGGAGCCCACGGGGCCCACTCTCCCCACTTTCATGGAAACACCGTTCAGGGGTCCCACTGGGGCCCCCTCTCCTGCCTGCAGCCTGAGAGGCGGCACAGTCCTCTTAAGGCTCCCCTTAATGGACTCTTCCACAGAGCTGCTAGCAGCCGGGGGAGCCCCAGGACCCACTCCCACACCACACAGAGGCCAAAACTGATCCTGTAATTTGAAAGGCCCCCTGCCATGCCAGCCTGCTCACTGCCCCGGGCCAAGGCGCTGGCCCGCAGCTGCCTCTAGAGGGCAAAATGTGCACCACATAGGTCCTGCTGCCTGCCTGCCTGCCTGCCAGGCCTGGACCCACGCAAGGGTCGGTGAGGAGCTGGCCACGAGGCTGCTAACAGATAAATCCCCCATCACCGACCTAGGGGACATCAGGACCAGACACTAGCTGTCCCCTAGCCTGTGTGCTCCTGGGGAGAAGGGCTGCCTGGCCGGCGTGGAATGTAGTCAGATGCCCTGTCTGGTCGAAGGCGCAGGGAGAAGGGGTGGAGCTGAGCCAGTGCCTGCCCCTGTTAGTGGCCGTCATATCGCGGGGCCCAGCATGTGTGGAGTTGCCCCAGGCCTGCACTATGAGCCCCGCCCACTTTAAAGAGGAAGCGCGCCTCTTGGTTGCACTGGTCTGCTCAGGGCTGCAGGGCCCTGTGCCCTGGGTCTTCTCTTGCCCGAAGGCGAGGCGAGCTAGCATAGAGGAAAGGGGCTGCAGTGTTGATCACGCAGACAGAGCCTGGGGCCTTTCTCCCCACAGAGGAATAGCTCGCTGCCGGATGAGAACAACTTGGCTCGATTGCAGGAAGAGTTGAAGGCGCTCAAAGTGCGGGAGGGTGAGGCTGTGGCCTCGGCCCGTGAGCTCAAACTGCAGCTGCAGGAGCTGTCGGACGCCTGGCAGGTGAGGACCGCCTGGTGTTAGGCACACCTCGGGCTCCTTGGATGAGGCTGACGCCGGCCTCTCGGACACTCCCCAGGCCCATCTGTCCCGCGGCGGCCGCTGGAAGGAGTCTCCACGGAAACTGGTGCTGGGAGAGCTACAGGACGAGCTCATGAGCGTGCGTCTGCGTGAGGCCCAGGCGCTGGCCGAGGGCCGCGAGCTGCGACAGCGCGTGGTGGAGCTCGAGACGCAGGTGAGCACGCAAGCCCGCCCGCCCTTCCGGGAGAGCCTCTCGGCCGCCCCTGCCCCAGCCGTGACCCCGCGGGTCCGTTCTCCTTTCGTCCCCAGGACCACATCCACCGCAACCTGCTGAACCGCGTGGAGGCGGAGCGCGCGACACTGCAGGAGAAGTTGCAGTATCTGGCGGCGCAGAACAAGGGGCTGCAGACGCAGCTTAGCGAGAGCCGCCGCAAGCAGGCTGAGGCTGAGTGCAAGGTGCTGCCCTGCCCCACGCCCGCGCAGCCCCTGCCCGGAGCCACCCTGACCCACCCTCTGTCCCCACCCCCAGAGCAAGGAGGAGGTGATGGCTGTGCGCCTGCGCGAGGCGGACAGCATGGCCGCGGTGGCTGAGATGCGGCAGCGCATCGCGGAGCTGGAGATCCAGGTGCGCGCCGGGGCCGGGCCGGGCCGGGCCGGGCAGGCGGTTGGGTGCAGACCTGGGAGCAGGGGAGGCAGCTGTTGCTGACCAGGATATCTGGCCCTGCCCCACAGAGGGAGGAGGGCCGTATCCAGGGCCAGCTGAACCACTCGGACTCCTCGCAGTACATCCGAGAGCTCAAGGACCAGATCGAGGAGCTGAAGGCAGAGGTGAGTGCAGAGCCCGGAAGGAAGGCGGGTGAAGGGCTAGGTGGCCGGGAGGTTGGGAGGGGCACCCAGCCGGACACTCCTGTGGATGCGCGGTCCACGCCTCTAGCACACCGTCCCGCACCAGGTGCGGCTGTTGAAGGGTCCGCCACCCTTCGAAGACCCGTTGGCTTTCGACGGTCTGAGCCTGGCGCGGCACCTGGATGAGGACTCGCTGCCATCCTCGGACGAAGAGCTCCTGGGTGTGGGTGTGGGCGCAGCCCTGCAGGACGCGCTTTACCCCCTGTCACCGCGAGACGCTCGCTTCTTCCGCCGTCTGGAGCGGCCAGCCAAGGACAGCGAGGGCAGCTCAGACAGTGATGCCGACGAGCTGGCTGCGCCTTACAGCCAGGGCCTGGACAACTGAGGCTGCGGCCTATGCGCCGCATTTCGGGGACTCGAGGCCTCTGTGGCTCCGCCTGCCCCAGGGCCAGGTCAGGGAGCTGTAGCAGTGGCTATGAGCAGAGGGTACAGCCTGCGCAGGCTCTCCCTCCCAGCAGTGTTTACCCCTCCTGGCCCGACCCCTCCGCTGCTGTGGCCCAGAGCATCCTGGGCCAGTGGTGGACGAGGCTGTATCCCCCAACGGCGAGGGCAGGGGACACGCAACACATGGACCGAGTGAGCCAGAAGCACCACTTCCCAGCTGGCTTCCTTCTGACCCCAAGATGGCCCAGCCAGGAAGGGCCCAGGAGCTAGAAGTCTGAGGAAAGAGAGGCAGCTCTAGGCCAAACATTAGCACCCCAAGACACCACTGAACACACTAACCCTTGGCCAACCGGTCACCAGCCATGGGGCACAGAAGCTGAGCCACCTGCCTGGTGTGGGCCTCCTGGCCCCTGCAGCAGAAACCAAAGTCCCTCCTCCTGTATGCAGGGCCACCAGGGATGTGAGTGGCCAGTGGGGACAGCTCAGACCTGGTGAGGTCTCCTGGTTTCTCTGAGGCCAGAATAGCTGCAAGGAGTGAAGAAACCCATCTCTCCAGCGGGCGCCCCACATCTTCCTCTGGGAGACACATTCCTCATCCTGGCCAGCGACTGAGAGTCCCCTCTCCTGCTCCTGCTCTTGTGGGTGGAAGCCTCCAGCCACTCCCCTTTCTTCCCTGGGGCCCAGCCCCAACCTCAGGCGAGGCCCAGCCCCCTGGGTGGAGTGGTGCAGCAGCCACCTCCCCTTGCCTCGGGTTGTAGCCCCGAGGTCCCTGCCACTCAGCACTGAGGAAGGTGCCAAAGTCCAGCAGTGTCCCCAGGCCCCTTTTCCCCTCCAACCCAGAGGCCCTGTGACCCTGCGGCCCACCCTCTCAGTGCTCCTGGAGCCTGAGTAGAGTAGTGTAGCGTCAGAAGCAATCTCCCCGGCGCTTCCTGGAGGGGGACCTCTGTTCAGTCCCCTTTCCTGGTCACCCACTCTTCAGTGTTACAAAGCCTGGGGACCAGGGTGGGCACCTGTGGGGCTCTCCCAGTGTGCCCCCCACACTGCCCACCACCATTTTGCACACTGCCTGTTCACACTCCACATATCGCCCAGGAGGGAAAGATGGAAAATAAAGTGTATTTACACAGTCACGGACCAGGGGTGCTGGCCATAGCCAGACAGCGAGCGGCAGGAGGGAGAGGTAAAAGGGTGCCAGGTGCTCACCGGTTGTCTCAAGACTCTGAGGGGTGGGAGGCAGAGCTAGTTGGTACCAGGGCAGGGAACATCTCCCACACCAACCTCACAAGAGATAGGCAGGGATACTGGCTTCGGAAAGGGCAGAATCAGGCTGCATTCATCCAACATGCACTTCTGGAGCCCTTCTGGGGCCTCAGGCATGAGCACTGGCTTGGAGGGTGAGCTGCCATTCATGTGGACCAGACTACTGCGCCAGGAAGTCATGGCTGTCCGTCTCCTCTAGGAGCAAAAGCATAAAGGCTAGGTGTTGCCACTAGGAGGAACAGGACACAGGTGAAGCTGGACCAGGACAGGGCTACTAGAGGAGCCAAGTGGGGATGGCTTTCACTGAGGCTTGTGAGGAGCCCAGGGGTGGCTGAAGAGACAGAGACACCAGTGGAGAGAGCACAGTGTGGCAGACACTAGGGACAGCAGATGGGGGAATCCCCAGAAGAAGACCCAACAGGCATGCGTAGTATCCTTTTGGGTCTTCCTCATAGGGCTGGCGTGTGGAGGACAGGGGCACAAATGGCAAAGCTTGAAGGCTACCTAGGAGCAAAAATTTAATCAGGTCTAGGCAGAACCATCCAAGCCCTGCTGTACCCCAGTGTGGTCCCACAAAGTGGCCCCTCCTGCTGCCCAAGCCACACAGCTGCGCATGACATGTTCCACTTCAGGACAGCCAGGTCTCACCTGTTGTCCCAGCATTACATAGAGTAAATGCTGAGACCTAATGGTCTCTGCCTACACCTCTGTCTCCCACAGGGTGATTAACTCCAACAAGTGGGGGTAGGGCCCCAGAGGACATCAATGTGTGCCTTCCCCTTCAGGGGAGTTGCCCAGTCTGTCAGAGTCACCTCTCCCCTGGGGCTTATTGCAGACTCAGAATAAGGACAACCTGGTGCCCACCAATGGGGAGCTGCAAATTGTTTCTCACAAACCTCAGGTTGACTGAGGCAGCTTTTTGGCCTCCCTCCCCCCAACTGTCTAGAGAGGAGTTAGCAGGGCCCATGCAGACCCCAGGATGGGAGGTATGTGTCAGAGATGCCCACAATAGTCACAGAGTGCAGAAAGGGGCCAGCCCCAGACAGAGAGCTGAGGATCCCACACTGAGACCTAGTTTGTCCTTTGCCCCCTGAGGATGCTGCACTCATTCTTAGTACCAAGCCAAGCATCATTGGAGAAGAAAGACCTACCAAGGAGCTCCCTGGGAAGGGCATTTGGCAGGAAGGCAAGCCAGTCCATGACTAAGCTAGGGGAAGAAGGGAAAGGGATTCTGAGTGAAGAGGCTGGGTGTAAGTTAATGAGGATGCCCAAGGTAGCACACAGGACAAAAATCCCTTGTGTATGTGCCACCCAGAGGGGCAGTGTGGACCTCCACATCCCTATCCAACCCTGGGATAGCCCGCTTCGTCCCTGCACCTCCAACCCTGTGGAGTCAGCCAGGGACTCCACATCTGTGGAGGATTATTTTGCTGGCCTGCTTTGTGCACAACCGCCTCCTTGGTGAGCAGAGCAAGCACCCAGGGTCAGGAGGCAGGCAAGGGGAGGATGTGCCCCTTCCCTGGGTTCCCACTTACAGAGTTCTTGCTCCAGGTCTTGCCCTCAAGGGAAGTCCCTCACCTGAGGACATGCAGGTAAGGGCGTGGACACCGCACAGAGGTTTGGAAAGCAGTCCCCACCCAGGCCAAGCCCTTCTCACTTGTTCCCTAGGAGCACCAGTGCCCCAGCACGGTGTGGAAAGAACTTCCTCCGATCAGCCTGACGTTTCCACCAGAAGTCAGATGGGGAGAAGAAGCACAAGTTCGGGCATGCGGTTGCGCAGCACCAAGACCTAGACCCAGCCTCACTTCCCCGGCTCCTCTTCGACAGGACAAAAAACACACAATTCAACCAGAGCTCTAACATGTACATGCCTGTTCCCCCGGCGCTACTCAGCTGCCCCCCACCTCCAGACCCATGGGAGGACCCCAAATCCCAGCCCCAGAGCAACAGCGAAGGCAGGAGAGCTCCGGCGTCCTGGGTTTATTGCAAACTTGGGCTGCACGTAGTAGACACTGCACTGGACAAGGGGCTTGGCTAGAAGGAACAAGGTCTTATCATAAGCCAAAGGGGCCAACCAGTAGGGCGTGGGTGGGTCACGAGCCCCACTTGAGCCAGGTTGGAGTCTGGGCCAAAACATTCGGAGAGCTCTAAGGCCTAAAACCAATGGGACCAGAGTCACACTGTAGGGTACGAGAGCGGGGCCTAAGGAAAACGGACCCTAAAGCCAGGCAGGAGCTCAGTGGAAAGTCTCCACTTCCACCACAGTCCAGTCACCCTGCGGGGAGGCCACGTCGTCTGGGGAGAAGCTGGTAACTGAAGTGATGCTAGCACGGGATTCGTCCAGAGGAGACAGCAGTTCGGCCCAGCGACCCAGTTCGGCATCGCTGAGCGGAGCTCGGGCGCCCCCCGAGACTCCAATGCCCCCCGCGCCGCCTGGCCCACCGCCGCTGGCTCCCCCAGGGCCTTCGGCGGCGGCCAGCAGCAGCGTCCGGCTCAGCAGGTGCTGCACGACGCTCGCCTGCAGCGCCCCCAGCGGCAGCTCGCCCAGGGGCGCCGGCTTCGGGCTCCGAGAGGAGGTGCCCTGCCCGGCGCCAGCCCCGGTCTTTCCACCGCCGGCGCTGGGCCCGGGTCCCGTATCCAGCGCGCTTGGGGTGGGAGTCGGCGGCTCGGGCCCTTCAGCCTCGTAGATGGTACACAGGCCATCAGCAGAGCCGGGCCCAGCGGCTGGAGGCCAAGGCAGAGAAGCTCCTGCCGGGAGAAGCGCAGGGCAGGTCCAGGAAGCCGGAAGCTCCGCCCCGCCCCTCTTCCATTCACTCCCTCGCTCTAACCACGCCCCTCACCGTCCAGCCAGAACCCTCCTGCTGCTCCGCCTCTGAGTCGAGCCCCGCCCCCTGCCCCGGCCGGCCGGGCCCAGATGTACTCCTCCTACCTGGAGCACCGCGGATGGCCAGCGGCGGGGCAGGGCCTCGGCTCCAGACAGCCGGGTGGCAGGCGGCGAGCTCCGCATCAGCTGGCGGGGAGGTTGCAGCACCGCCCTCCGGCCCACTGTCGTAGCCTCGCAGCTCCTCGGGCGTGCTCGTCGCGCTGCTGCTGTGCCCAGCCAGGTCTGGACCACTCAGCGTGCTGGACGGGCTGCGCGACGGTGGTGGCGGTGGAGCCGGGGCTAGCGCTAGGGTCAGCCGTGGGCCGGAGATGGAGGCATCTGGACCAGGGGTCGGAGGGCGGCGGGGCGCCTGCCGAACGGGGGAGGAGGGGGGAGAGGGTGGGACCTGCAAAAGGGGCGAGGGCGGGGGAGGCGCGGCCGGTGCAGGGGGCGGGGCCTGCAGCGGCGGCAAGGACAAAAGGAGTGGAGCCCGTGGAAGGGGTGTGGCCACAGGAGAGGGCGGGGTCTGCAGAGGGGGCAAGGCCAGAGAAGGGACCACTGCGGACGGCGTGGTCAGGGTAAAGGAAGGGAGGGGCGAGGCCAAAGGGGGCGGGGTCTGTGTCGAAGGCGTGGTCAGCGAAGAGGGCGGGGCCTTCAGCGGAAGTAGGCCCTGAGGAGGGGGTGTGAGCTTGGGAGAGGAAGAGCCCTGAAGCGAAAAGACCCGGGAAGGCGAGGCCGGCGCCGGGGGCGTAGCCATAGGAGAGGGCGGGTCCTGCAGGGAAGGCAAGGCCAGAGGGGAGACCTGTGAAGGAGGCGTGGCTAGGGGAGAGGGCGGGTGCAAGTCTTGAGAGGGCGGGGCCAGTGGAGGTCTAGTGGCCAAAGGAGACCGGGGAGGGGAGGCAGAAGGAGACAGAGAGGCTTGCAGAGGCAGTAAGGCTGGAGGAGAGAGAAGAGGCTGTAGAGGAGGCGAGGCAGGGGGAGAGAGAAGGGGAAAAGGGTACGTGGTCGGGGTCAGAGACGCCTGCAGAGGCGAGGTCAGAGAGGTTTGGGTTTGCATAAGGGGCGTGGGCAGGAAAGAAGGCGTGGCCTGCAGCGGGGGTGAGCCCACAGAAAGTGGGGCCTGCTGAGGGCTCAAGGCCGGAGGAGGCGGCGCGGCCAGAGCAGGTGGGACTCGTGCGGGTGGCGAGGTCAGAGGGGATTGGGCACACCGAGGGGGCTTGGGCGGGGCCTCCAAGGGCGCTGAGGCCGGAGGAGAGGGAGAAGCTAGAGGACCCTGGGCAGGGGATATGGCCCGAGGCGGGTCTTGCGAAGGCGGTGTAGGCATCTTAAAGGGCAGGGTCTGGAGAGGGGATGGAGACAGGGAAGGACTGCTGCGGAGAGGCGTGGGCAGAGTGGAAAGAGCCGGCGGAGTGGGCGTGGACAGAGATGGCAGGTTCCTGGGAGATACTGGTGGAGAGACGGGGGTCTGTAGAGCGGACGGGGCTGAAGATAGCGCTGGGGAGGACGGAGGAGGTGTGGCCAAGGGAGTTGGAAGCGGTGGTAAAACTGGAGAAGCCTGGGAAGGGAGGACATTCTGCAGCGGAGGTGAAAGTGAGGGAGAGGGTGCAGGCTTGGCCAGCGGGGGCAAGGTTGCCACCTCCAAAAAGGGCCTGCTGGGCTGCGTGGGTGGAGCTTGCGAAGGGGGGGTGGCTGGCGGGGAGGGGAGGTTCTGCAGGACTAGTGGAGGGGACGGGATTCTCGGAGGGGGCGGGGCCTGCTGGGCGGGCGGAGCCTGAAGATGAAGGGCGGCAGGTGGAGGGGGCGTGGCCGGTGGAGAGGGAGGGAGTGTGGCCAGCATTTGGGCGCCAGGGAGCAGGGGAGCGGGTGCTGGCCGTGCGGTGGTACCAGGTGGAGGGGGCGTGGCCAAGGAAGAAGGCCGGCCTTGAGCTAAGGCCGCCTCCTTCCTAGGAGAAGCGGCCTGCGGAGGGCGCACAGCCTGCAGCGCTTTGGACTTGGGCTGTGACGCCTGCACAGGAGCCCGGGGTCCACGAAGCGAGGCCCCAGAGCGGGCTGGGGAGGCCAGATGAGTAGCGCTGGAGCCCAGGGAACGCGAGGCCGGCTTCTGGAGGGCCCCTCCGGCATTGGGCCGCCTCCGGGCCGCGGGACTGGAGTCCGTGGCACTGCTGCGCTCTGTGGCGCTGCTCACAGATCTCCTGGGCACCTCGGTCTGGGGCCGAAGCTGGGCACTGGGGGCCGGTCGGGGGAGTCCAACCTCTGAGCCTGTAGCCTTGGTCCGACGTGTGGCCGCTGGAGAGGGGGCCCCTGAGGTGGGCCCTGAAGAGTCTGGAGACAAACCAAAAGGCCCAAGGGGTCTCAGATAACACCCAGGCAGCCCACAACCCAACGCCTAGGGGCCACTTCCTCCCCAGGCCAGGTACCTCTCCGCGCTCCAGAGCTCACTGCATTCCTTTTGGGAGCCTCCGAGGTTTTTCCCCTGGCAAGAGGCTCCTCACCTGGGGGCTGTGATCCCTTCTGGCCTCCTGGGCCTGACCTGGGGACGGAATAAACCAGCTCTATGTTACTATATTACTATATGAGAGAGAGAGGTGCTCACCCTCTCCGGGATACCAATAATGGTTTCCATCCAGTTTGCAGCCAGTGAGGGTCAAGTGTTCCCAAACCCCTAGCTCATGTGTAACATTATGGTTACAGATTGCGGTGCTCCGCTAAGAGAGCTCCTTCCTTACCTGTTGGCACGGGCTGGGCTAGAGACAGAGACCTGGCCTGGGGTCTTGGCAGGGGGCCGCTCTCCTCTCCCAGTCGCTGGGGGCCTGGAAGCTGCAGAGAGATGGTCAAGTCAACAGTGTCTCGGAAAGAAGGGGTGTCTAAGGGGGATGGGAAGATGGGCTAGGACAGAGGGAGGAGGCTGGGGACCTGGGCTCCGGGGACCTGTGCCAGCACTTCGCGATGGTCCTCCTCGAGTGGCAGCTTCAGCTCTACCGACGCCCCCACTGCGTTCTGCCAGGGGTCTTCTTCCTGTAGCCCCTGCCGCTCCCAGAACTCGAAGGGCTGCAGCAGTTACTGGAGGAGGGGGTCGAGGAGACCCTGGGGGCCTAGGGATGGGTAGGCCGGGAGGGCGAGAAGCGGGCACCCTCACGGTGCCCCCTGCCTTTGCCTGGTCCCTCTTGTCCATCCCGCACCTGAGGAGGAGACCGATGGATCAGCACCCCAGGTCCTGGACCACTGCGGTGCCTATTGAGCTCTGGATCATGGCACCTCGCAGCTTCCTCCCCCAGCATCGCCACCCATGGGTGCCTGAATCGGCTTCCCTCACATCACCCACACCCACTCCGCAGCCCAGCTGCTCGCTGATGTCCCTAAGTCCCACCCCCACCTCCTTCTTCCCGAAGCTGAGAGGCCCTCACCGACCTCACCCTGGCTTCATCTGGGTTTCAAGACCAACATCCACGCCCCTACCCTTCGCCCATCAGGGACCTCGGTGACCCACAGGGAGCCTAGAGCTCCCCTCACCCAGGACCTGAGCGCGCGCCCTCCCCAACCTCCCCGAGGATGCCAGCACCTGCCGGGAGGAAGAGCAGCCTCGTTGCCCGCAATCGGGCTTCCGGAGACAAAGAGCCGGGTCTGGGGCCCGACCCCTCCCCCAGCCCGTCCCTGGCCCGCGCTCCGAGACCCGCGTCTCCACCTGCTCGAACTGCGCGCACCTCTGGCTTCGGCTTTCCCGCTCCACTCTAGGTCCTGGGTGGGGCCTGGCCCGAGAGCCTCGGTGGCCTGGAGCGGCTGGAAGGCGAGGGGAGGGGGCTACAGACGGCTGCGCCCGGGGAGCCGGGCCGGCCCCGCCCCTCGGCTGCGGGCGGGGGAGCCCAGGGCTGGAGCTCGAGCCAGACTCGGGTGCGCGCGGAGGGGCTGGGGAAAGGCGTGCGCGCCGGAGGGAGGAGTGGCGTTGCAGCGGTAGGGGGTAGAGTAGGTTAGCAGCCGGTTTCCGAGGCTGCTACGGACAAGCACAGAGACCGAAACAGAGGGGTTTAGAAGGTCGATCCCTTGGAGAACCCCAGACCCTTTACATACTCTCCTGCACCTGCTCCGACACCCTCCTCCCTACGCGCAACCACCTGGAAACCAAGGCCGGCTTGGACGTGGATTGGCTGAGCCCTGGCAACCAGAGGGCGGGACCTCTGCGCCTCGGGCCCACCGACCAATCCAGCCCCTCTAGGCCGCAGGTCCTTGTTCCCGGCCTTAGCGACCGAGGAGGCCAGGGATGTATGTGGGAATCTCTCTCTCTCAGACTCCAAAGCTCTTCTAAGACCCTAGGCAGGAATGAGGGCGAGTGGGGCTGCCGGAAGTAAGCAGCCTGGAGATTTAGGGGATGGGAGGCAGACCCTAGATTTTTGAGAAGAGATGAAGGGAGTGAGGAGGAAAAAAAAGGGGTAGGGAGGAGAAAGAGGAAGAAAGAAGAAAAAGCATGGTAGAGTTGACCCAGCCTTCGCAGAACAGCACCTGCGCTCCCACACACTCGGGGCTGTCTGGAGGCGTAGTCAGCACAGGTGTCCTGGGCCGTGGGGGGGGGGGGGGCAAAGCCAGGCCATGAAGCAACGCGGAGCACCCCGTGTGAGGGTTTCAGCCCACCCTGGGCTGTGGAGTGTCATGCATTTGTGAGGAATCTGGCTGAGGATCTTACAGGGGATTGCGGCCCTGGATGAGTTAACCCAAAGCTCGAGACCAAAAGATCTCTGCAGTAAAGGGGTTTATCTTACCTTTGTGGGTGTCAGCCAGAAAAAGGACCAGGTCCTGGGACACGCTACAGCAACTTCTAGAAGCAAGGACAGAGCCCTGAAGATATGTCCTGTGGACCTAGAACTAAAAACAGTTTTATTTAAAAACTTGGGTAAGGCAGGCTCTAAATTGATCTCACATGGCTACAGGTAAAAGATGGAGGTGCTTTTGGAAGCCAGAGCTTTAGGATAGAGGGGCAATTGGCCAGGAAAAGCCTTGTTGTTTTGGGATCAGTTGGCTGGTGTGCAGCGTACAGTGGCACCTAATGGGCAGCCACAGGATGTGACTGAAGCTTTTAGGTGGCTGGTGGTGGTGGTGTGACAGGTAACATTATGTAGTTCAGGCTGGCTTTGAATTCACTGTGTAGCTGGCCTTAAGTTTTAAGGAGATTTTTCCTTGCCTCAGCCTCCTCAATGCTGGATTACAGGGCTGTGCCACCTCACCGGGCTTAACGTTTGAACATACATTTCAGAATGTGGCTTTGTTGTTCTGGATTTAGCAGTTCCCTGGTGAACTCCTGTGCCTCTCCTCCATCCCAAGTCATTACAATGAAGTGGAGGACATCTCTGAATTTTTCTCTGACCTGGGCCACATGGCAGTTGAGGCTGGCCTTGAGCTCACTTTGTAGCCCAAGCTGGTCTCAACTCACAGCGATCCTTCTGCCTCAGCCTTCCGTGTGCTGGGATGACAGGCATGCGCCACCGCACTGGCTAGGAGCGGATCTCGAGGAGCCTCTCCTTGTGCCTGAAGATCTGGACTTGGGGCCTCTGTCCGCAAGGCCCCTCCGTGTGCCTTCTGCCACAGTGTCTCCTCACTCTGCACTCAGCCGCCCTCCACCCTTGCCCCAAAACCAGCTCCCTGGCCCTGGCCCTGGCCCCTAAGCACACACATGGACACACACATGCATGAGCAATCTGTTTCCTCCTGGAGCTCAGAGGGCTTCCTGACTGAAATGTGACTAGAAGCAGGAGCCTGAGAGTCCTCCATTCTAGACTGGTGCCCACTTCTGCTTCCAGAAACAGAAGAAGGATGACGGCGACCTCAACTGAATGCCCCACCCCCGCCTCCTGGCTGGATCTCTGGGCCTCAGCTCCCACACAGACCAACTGACTGTCACCTGCTTTAGCTACTGAGAGACTCAGGGACCACCCAAAATGTAATAAAATTATCAAATGCTGTGAATGGGGCCCTGCGGGAACTATTCTGTTGTTTGTTTTTCTTTTTCTTTTTTTTTTTTTTTTTTTTTTTTTTTTTTTTGCGGAACCGGGGATTGAACTCAGATCCTTGCATTTACCAGTCAAGCGCTTATCCTACTGAGCCTTCTCCCTGGCCCCCCTTGTTTTCCTTTTTGAGACACTATGCAGTTCAGGCTGGCCTTGAGCACACTCTGTGGCCCATGCTGGCCTCAGACTCACAGCTATCCTCCTGTCTCAGCCTCCCGAGTGCTGGGATGACAGACACGCACCACCGTGCCCGGCCACCATTCTTTTCACCCCTTGCTTTTAGAGCCAAGCCAAACAAGAACACAAATGGGGGCCCAGGGCTGACACATAACCCAGAGCTAAAAATACAGTAGCTACAAACATCCCACTTTCATCCTACACTGCCTAGGAGCCAAGCCAGGATCAGCCTCCTAGAAGCCTGCCTCTCTGAGCAGAGAGCTGCCTGCAGCGGAGCCCAGACACTGACCAGACACTCTCTGCCAATCAGACTCCTTTCTGTACATGCAGGACTTGGACTGGACATTTTGGCACAAGTATTTTTCCTTGTGTTTGAAAAATGCTGGCCTGAGCTGCCCTTTGTCAGTGCTGGAACAGGATACCCATTAAAGCCTTCTCTGTGAAGGGCTGGGGAGATAGTTCAGTAGAAGAAGCGCTTGTCTGGCAAGTGCAAGGTCCTGAGTTCAATCCCCCATACCTCAAAAAATAAAAAATATATTAAAAAAAAAAAAAAGCCTTGTCTGTGCTTCTACTTCCTCTGGGCATCTAGGCCGAGGAACTCATGCCTCTGATAGTCTGATGTCTTCACACTGCCCTGCCTACCTGCTCACCCATCCCCCACCCCTTCCTGACTGGCTGCCTTCTGATTATGGTGGAAGGGGTCCTCCAAGGATCCCAAGGCTGCACTGAACTCACCCTGCATTTAGCTAGGACCTGGCCCCTGCCTTCTTTAAAGTCACTCCCCAGTGTCCACCCACAGGGACACAAAGCCAGGGGAGACGGCACATGCCCGTATCCCTGCTGCTCGGAAGGCTGATACAGCAAGATCACACGAGCCTAAAGGTTCCAGCCACTCTGAGCATTACGAAGACTTCATCTCAAACAAAATGGGTGGACTAAGTGCATGCTGAGGCAAGCACAGAGACTGGAGTTCGATCGCCAGCACCACATGCTGTGCCAACCCCACCCCCAGGCACCTGAGTGGGCTACCAAGTCCAGATGTGGTGGCGCACGCCTGCAATCCCAGTTCTTGGGAGGCTGAAAACAGGACGATCACTATGAGTCCGAGCTGCGTAGTGAGACCCTGTACCAAATACATAAATTAAAAAATAAATAAAATAACAAACAAAATGGGGCTAGACAATGCAAACAAATGATGTCTTGCAATGGAACGACACTCAACAATAAAAAGCAACAGCATACTCACGCACTCCAAGACTACCCCTCCTGGGGCTCCACGGCACTGTTGAAGAGATGACATCAGGACCTCCAAATAGGATGTAAGAGAAATATTGTATCTCCCAACCCATTAGATGTCTGAGATGCTGAGCTTGTGTCCTCTAAAAATCAAAGCATGAATTGTAGGAACAATGGAGGTTAAGAGTAGGAAATGTAGGGGCCAGGGAGATAGCTCAGTAGAATAAGCACTTGCCTGGCAAGCACAAGGTCCTGAGTTCAATTTCCAGTACCACCAAAAAAAGAAAAAAAGAGTAGGTAATCTTGACTGAAAGGTAGAAAGCTCCTGTCAGAGGATCAGGAAGGGTCTGAATGGGTGCCCAGGGACACCACTCTTTAGGGAAGTTTCATCAAGCAATGCCCACATGGGTACAATATGGGCTATAGCTATGATCAGCAAATGAGATTCTGAGTGTAGCTGCTTATGTCATACGGATCCAACAGAGACGGAAGCCACGTAGGCAGTGGGCATGGAAGACCAGAGAACTTCTCAGGTAGGCGAGGATCTGGGGTCTTGGTTGCCCCTGGGGTGACAGATGTCTATCTAGACCAGGCATTGGCCCTTATCCCCCCCACACACACACACAGAGTATGTAGGTCTAGTGCTTCTGTTGTTACTGTGAGGCTTGGGCTCCATGTGACGAGGCTCTGGCCACAGCTGCAGTGGGCTTTCACCTTTTGGCTTGCCTCCCTTATGGGTCCAGCCCTGCCTCAGAGGTCTGACCTT